AAAGGCGGTTATAAATGTTTGTAGGATAACAGATACGGGCTTATCTTATGCTGATGGATAGTATGCTTTGTTGTAATCAAAATTTTTTTTTCATTTTTTCGCCCTGTGGCAAATTTCTCCATTTAAGCCTGCTGAAAGTGAATGGGACTGTCACTTGCCACCATCAGTTTGTTGAAATGCTCACTGTATGTTTATTCTAGAGTCATACTGTCAATTAAAAGTCATTAAAACTGATACCTTCATCATCCATAGGTTTTACTTATGGGATGACCGTTTTTGCGTAAGTTGGATTAGTTGTGGATTTGATGAGGTTGTACGCCACTAAGGATCCAGCAGCAGTTAGAGTATGGCATCGTTGAGGGGTTGTCTATTTTTCGAGAAATAAATGGTATCAGAAGGACTGCCGTACCAATCGGCACATCGCTGCTGAACTTTCTCCCGTTAAAGCTTATACACAGTATTCAAAATCATGATGTCAGAAACTGATATTGCTTGGCCGCATTGCAGTTGGACCAAACCCTTGTTATCATCAGGTCTGATGAACATGTCGAGAATATGGATATGTATACACACTCCGTGACATTGAAGGGAACTACCAGAGGCCTTCTCGGGGCGAAGGTGTGAACAGTTCTGGAGAAATATGAGGTGAATGAAAAAAAATCGATATAAAAATGCAGGGAGACTGCCGTTTACGACAGGAAGTCGAAGTCTTGCACAGCGAGTGTTACATTCTGTTACAGTGTTAGCTGTTTCTTGCATTTTTAAGTAAATTTTATGGGCTGGATCAATTGGCAAATTGTAGTCGCATTCGGTGACCTCTTGGCAGCATGGTCAGGTGTTGGTGGTCACCCAGAATTACGAGATTTAGAGCCGCCCTGCCAGAGACTTAAAATACCTGACTGCAGTTGAGGCCCGACCCACTTGACAGTTGAAAATCAGCACAAGGCGTGAGCAGTAAACAACAAAAGCCAAGCTGATTTAAATCGAGGCTTCTGCAGTCTGCAGAATGTCGTCATTCATGCACTGCACCCGTTGCTTGAGTGCAGCTGAATCGGGTTTCGACGATAAACGGCATTGCAGTAGCATTCACATCGACGAGTGACGTCAGGTAGAAGTCAGAAATGGACAAGCGACACAAACGAGCACGGTGACATGAAGTTAGCCATGATTGCAGTAATGGAAAAAACACCTGGCAAGAACAACGAAGCTTCCTGGAGTCAGAGTTGCCTGAGCTTTGCTCTTTCATACCAAAATGTTGATTGAAAGAATGGGAGCCAGGATGCCATTTGCAGGAAGAAGTCCCCTTCGAATCTCCGGAGACCATTCGAGAGTGATCGGAGGACGGGGGAACACATAACACCCAAATTTTTGAACCGCCCAAGATCAAGATCGAAAGGTCATTATTGCGATCGTTTGGACATGTGTTCTTTCAGCATGTCAAAGAATAGGCCTTCCTCTCGCATCTGTCAATGGACAGATTTAAGGTCGTATGGTAGATCCAGCAAGTGCCACGTCTGATGCTGTTTTGCCACGGAGTCTAGTCTCTAGTCCGTGCAGCTTTCCAGCTGGTGAAGTACTAAGTCCATTTAAAAAGCTCCGCCCACATTTAATCGAAGGGAACGTCGGGTTATACCAGTGAATAGAAAAACTACACACCATTTAAATTGCGCTGAAAGCTGTGATATTAAAAACGACTTTTCTTGAGGTGGTCCTACTTGCAACCTAACAGACGCATCTTTGACGGAAATAGCCCGCAACTTGTGTTTCGTTCTGTCTTCTGCCGATCGATCAAAGTCATAGCCAACTTACTGAAGTGTCGCAGCTGTCACGCAGTATATTCGTCGTTTCCTCAACGTCGCTTCTCAACGTTCTTGCCGCATGTTCGGAAACTGACGAGGGAGTTATGTGACAACGCCCTCTCTCATTAGCATAAATTGAGAACGAACCGCCCGCCCTTGCACATTTTAACGGTGCCTTTGATTTCTAGTAGGAAGAGAGAGAGCCCTTGTGACGGAGTGTAGAACCGTGGAGTTAGTTTCCGTAAGGAACGTGACCGAAACAAGGCCTGGTGCCTTGATCGTATGAAACGAATGAGAAACGCCTACGAGGAATGGTGATCGCTGGAACCACATTAACTTGAAGAAGAAAAGAAGAAAGAGAAAACAGTAAGTGTCTCGATGTTGTTAGAAGCGCATACAGTCGTACAGATAGGCAGAATAAGTAGCTGACGTGGTGATAGCTTTTTCCATTCATTTCTCGTTCATGCCTTCTATTTCTGCTACAGTGGTCTTTGTGAACCAGAGATAATTGCGTGGCATCCTTTTGGAATACCACCGATCGACCATTTGCAATGTAATGGTACAATTGGATCGTAGGAACTGTTTATCTGCCACGTGTCAAATCTATCGCCTTTTGTTCTCTCTGCTTTCCGCCATAATGTATTTCACTTCCGGTTGCCATCTGGTATCTACATTAGGTATGATCGCGAAGTAAAATTCGTAGCATCCATTTCTATTTCGGCATTTCGATGGTCTCGAACCTATATTGGTATACAGTACTACGATACTGTACATTGCTGTATCGCTCGGTCTTTCCAAAAAAGATATTCTTCATGAAGTTGAACACCCGCCATCCTGCGCAAGATTTTGGCCTTTTGACTACATAGCATCAAAGTGCGACAGTTTAGTGTCGTGTATGATTTAAGGATGATTTTAGCATGTACTCACTACTGCCCACAGTTGTAAAGACGGTGGGTCGGCCGTGTGCCTAGTGTGAAATACAGCAGGTGCACATCCAGAGTTACTGGATTAGCTTCAGCATCACACATCACTCGGTCGTCGACCTACCTGCCGGGCTGACCCAATGACGAAGCTGTGTGGTCAACGGTGGAAGTAACACCGGCAAAACTGGCTAAACAACGACGACTTACGACCATGGAATTGAAGGACTGCATCGCATAGATTCCTGGTCCAAACATATGCAATAT